ATATAGACATATATGACGTTTGCATACAATATATATATATGCCTATGCATGTATTTCATACACAAATTTTCTTTTCTGTCTCACACACAGCCACGTACGACGAGAAATGCGACATCTGGTCCACTGGTATCACAGTCATTGAGTGTATAGACGGGCTCCCACCGCTCATAGAGATCCATCCCATGCGCGCCCTACAGTACATCGTCATCAAAGACCCACCCGCAGTCACGTGCACACCCGAGAAATGGAGCACACACCTACACATGTTTGTCAAGGATTGCCTGCAGAAGGACTTTGCGACGAGACAGAATGCCACAGATTTGTTGGAGGTCAGCCAAACATGTGTACCTGAAAGTGTTGGTTGCTTTTTAACTTTTTGAATATTGCATGTATGTTTAATATGTACATATATGTTGAGTATGTACATGTATATTTAATGTGTACGTGTATGTTCAATATGTACATGTATGTTTAATACGTACATATATATTAAAAATATACAAGTAAGTTTAATATGTACATGTATGTTTAACACGTACAAGTATGTTCAAATATGTTTAATTTGTACTTGCATGTTTAATATGTACATTTATGTTTAGTATGCACATTTATGTTATGTATGCGTACTCAAAACAAGAAGCTTGGATCTACATATATCAAACGTGCCTGCATAACTACCATGCAGTTAGATAAAATGCCGGAGATTTGTGTGTGTATGCATGTATGGGGTATACCCGTACTATCCCATGGAGATCTGACTGTGTATTTAACTATGTTTGTGAAGGTTCACCTATAGAAGGGTGTTGTGGCTAGAAAGTAGGGCGCACGCCTGCCACCACTACTCATGGTGTGTGTATCTTTTTACGCGATTGAATGTATACTAAGCATTAAACCCTTATACCCTAAAACCACGTTTAAATGTATACTAAACATTAAACCTTAATTATATTTGTATATATGTATAATATATCTATGAGTGCCCACTCCGCAAATTGAGATAGGCCCTGTTCATCACCAGATGGTTTCTCAAGTCGAGACCGATCCGCCTATGCATGTATAGGTCTTAGTTAGTTCATTAGCTGTAGATTCATTTTGCCGTGGGTTGTTATTAGGGGTTAGGGTTTTAGCATGTTAGCGTTTTAGCGTTGGATTTTATTTCTCTGTCTGTCTGCTACCATCCCGCCACAGCAGCATGCTCAAATATACAAACGTATATATAGGTCTACAATAATGTTTATTGGTTTGAATTTAATACTCAATCCTTGATGTTAAAGTAGCTGAAGTTATGTACATCTCTCTCATATGCTTGTAGCAATGTAGTCATATTCACTCCTAAATTAACTATAAAC